ACTCTTTCCTGCTCTATTCAATCTCAAAACACTTACTGGTAGTTTGTGCTTGTGTGTGTCTATGTGTGTACGTACATATTGACATATATTTTGCTTTTTACAAAAAAAATACTACTTTATGGAATCACATTCTCCCAGTATAATTTGGAGCACAAACATGTTGCTGTTTTGCCTTTGTAATAAAGGAACTGTGGTGATAGGGAAGGAGGCCTCCCTAAAGAAATTGCCAAGCACACATCAGCATCTTTCACAGGAGTTTCATTCAGAGGAGAAGAGAAAGAAACCTTTGTAAAGGGGGCCAACAACAATGAACAGTGTATAGAGAACCTGAGACAAATATGTAAGATAGTAGACATCGAAAATATCAATAATCACAACAGCGAACTAATTCCTCCAGTAAGACAGTTGTCAGACGGGACCTACTTACAGGTGTCTATGCACATAAACGTAATACATTCTTTTTCACACACGTCTAAAGCATAAGGACACATAATGGTTAGAAGAAGTAAAAGAGGAACAATGTTTTCCTTACAAAATATGTGCATGATAATGTAGCCTTAAAATAGATTAAAGTAAAAGTGACCAATTTGCAAGGGCAAATAAATCTTCCTAGCAGTGGGGAAATTTAACCAGTCTCTCTTGGTAATCCATAGTTCAGACACACACAAAAAATTAGGATACAGAATTTGTAAAAATGTAGATCAAAGGCTGGGTGTGGGGGTACATGCCTGTAATCGCAGCATTCTGGGGAGGCTGAGGCAGGAGGGTCACTGTGAGTTCAAGGCCAGCCTGGGCTGCATAGTGAGTTCAAAGCTAGCCTGAGCTATACAGCAAGTCCCTGTCTAAAGAAATATAAAACAATAGATACTCAAAAGATATTTTTTTTAAAAAACTCATTTATTTGGAACTTAAGAAATGCATATCTAAACAATTTATGCCTCAAGGAAGAAATCTTAATGAAAAGTAGAATACATTTAGTTTCAATAATGGAAACAATGTATATCAAAATGGGTGAGGGGACAGCTAAAATAACATTTAGAAATGTACTGTGTATCTTTTAAATACTAGAGAGAAGAAAAGTGAAAATTAATAAACTAAGCATCAATCTTAAGTGGATAGAAAAAGAACCAGTTCAAAAGAAAGAATAAAGATAACAATATAAATCATTAGATAGGAAATAAATTCACAGAGAAGGCCAGTAATGTAAAAAGTGATTCTCAGAGGAGAAGGGTAAATTAGTCCACTTACTCAAGTCTTTAATTTCTCTCAATTGGATTTTACAGTTTTTAGCACATGAGGGAGATAGTTTTTACTAATTGGTACTAGGAAAAAATAACTTGGATCCTTTGTCTGAATACATATAAAAATTAACTCAAAATGGATCATAATTAAGAACTAATCTAAAAAAAAAACTTAGAAGAAAATCTTTAGGTATGGCAGAGATGTCTTAAATATGACCCAAAAAGCATAAAATACAGTCAACAAATTAGACGTCATTTAAAATAAAATCAAACTTGCTTCTTCAAAAGAGTATTCCAAAAAAAAAGAGGGAGCAACACTCTGGGAGAAAATACTTGCAAAACGTATTGGACAAAGGGCTTATAACTAAAGGAAGTCTTACAGTTTAATAAGAAAACAGCCCTCAAAACTAGGATTGCAGGTTGCAGGTCCATCTGACCCAGCTGTTCCCCTTCGGGGTGTCTTCCCTGAAGAACTAGAAACATCATACCGCAGTGATGTATGTGCACCCATGATTACAGCAGCACGATTTGTAATAGCCAGATCTTGGAAACAATCTAAACGCCCACCAACTGAGGGATGGTTTAAAAAAAAGATGTGTACTGTAATCCAAATACAAACATTGCAATCCCTTTTTCAGTCCACCTCACACGAGGTAATTCCAGTCTAGCACTTCCAGTGCAACCCACGATGACAGTAGAGTCACCGACACCCACAGTTACGGCAGCGGGGGTCCTAAGCCCAGTCCACAGACAAAGGCCCTGGCTGAAGGCCTCTCCCAGCACTGACTGTCTCGTGAAGAAGGAATGGCGAGGGTGAGGGACACAGGCCGTCAGTGTGAGCTGAGCCAGGCGGAGAGCGAGCACCTCTGCAGTGTGCAGGGAGAGTGGTCTGGAGAAAGGTAGCATTAGGATGAAGTAGGAGGCTCTGCTTCAGTCGCGGGTATGTGAACTTTTGTGCCCTGGAGGTCATAGCCTCTTATCTTGTGACTTGTACCCAGTTGACATTCCTGGAGCTATATGACTTTGACATCCTGCTGTGCTCAACTGTTTACAAGGCACGTGGTATGAGGAAACAGGAGACTGTTGTCTGGCTTCAAACCATTACATGTCAGTACCTCGGCTAGCCTTATTTGCATTGCTTAGAGCCCGTTAAAGGGAGAAGGAAATTGCATAGCCAGCTCTGTACACATCAGAACATGGAGACAGGGTTTAGTTTAATTAATGCTGAAGCAAGGGTTCTGCATTCAAGGGGAGCTGTAGGATCATCTCCTACAGATGTGATATTTTTTTTTCTTTTTCCTTTTTATCAGTACCGGGGATTGAACTCACGACTGCCTGCTTGCAAGGCAGGTGCTTATGCCGCTGAGCTAAATCCCCAGCCCCCAGATGTGATATTTTTATGCAATGGAGTACTACTCAGCCATAAAGAAGGATAAATGAGGCATTCATATGTAAATAGATGCAATTTAAGACCATACTTACAGGTAAAATAAATCAGGCACATGTGTAAAGATCATAATGTCTCACTAGTGTGAGCTGAAACTATATGTATATCATATATGATATATATATCTATATATATGTGTCATGCATCATATATATATGAGATAGTTATTTCTCTGAGCTCATTGAAAAGAAAGATTTGTGCTAGTATTGTTTGGACAGTTAAATGCAGATATCTTGTACTGTGAGTAAGTGATTTGAAGATAACAATATGCAATGTATATACATTGTTACCCCTAATTACTGTGTTTTGAAAATTTTTTTATTTTTTTGTCTTTAAAATGTAATTTAAAACAAAGAAAAAGAAAACATCGCAAATTAAAAATAGCAAAAGAGTTGAACAGGCATTTGATCCAATAAGTTCTAGGGATGGTAAGTAAGCTTATAAAAAGATGCACAGTATGAATAGTTTTAGGGAAACACAAATTAAAACTACTGGAAGATATTAGTGCACACTCAGTGAAAGAATATAAAACCACTGATCATACCAAGTATTAGTGCAGATATGAAGTAACTGGGAATCTCATGCACTGTTGGTAGAACAGTATAAAATAGTACAAATACTTTGAAACCCAGTTTGGTAGCTCCAGAAAAGTAAATGATATACCTGTCACAATTCACTCTTCATTGTAGATATCACTTAACAGAAATAAAATCACATATCCACACAAAAACCTTATAACCAGTTGTCCATAGCAGCTTTATTTGTAATAGTTCAAAACTAGGAAGAATCTAGATGTCCATTAACAGATAAATGTGTACAGAGCCTTACAGTGGAATTCTGCTTGACATATGGAACCAAAAAAGGACATAGTAACATGGATGAATCTCAAAATAATTATGCCTAGTGAAGGGAGCCAGACCTCCCCAATAAAAGAGTACGTACTATGTGACTCCATTTATATGACATTGTAGAAGACGCAACCTAATTTATACCGGCAGAAAGATAGTAGTTGACAGCTGCAAAAGAGGGTCCCTCATAGCTAAACGGCTGTTTTATGTTATGACATCTGAAAGGTAAAACTTTAAAACTCTGCAGAGGCAATCTAGAAGACACTCTCACAATCTCAGAGTGTAAGCGAGTTTCTTTAAGGCAAAAAGATTTAAAACTTAAGTGATGTTCAAATTTAAAATCTATTTCAAAAGAAAAAAAGCAGGGAAAGAAATCACACAGTGAAAAGAACTAAGGGAAAAATATTCATGAAAATATAATTGACAGAAAATTAGTATCTCTACAGAAATCTCATGACTCAAAAAGAAAAAAAAGACCAAATAGTAAAACAGACAAAAGATGTGTACAAGTATTTTACATTAAGAGGAAACCCCAAATGATCCATTTTCATGTGAAAAGACACTCACTTTGTTATTAGAGAAACATGAATTATAGCCAAAGCTAGAACACTCCCTGTGCCCTCCCTCCCATGACTAAAAGCCTGGGACCCTTCACTATGTCAGATACAGGCAAAGACAGACATTCACCTGAACAGGTGTTGGTTCTTAGAGAATACACTGATACAAACACATTGGCACAAAACTAATTTGCAGTTGTCTGCTGAAGCTAAAGGTGTGCCAGCTTCAAGGATACAAACCAGAGGAGGATACAAACCAGAGAAGGTTGCCAGAGCTTGGTGCAAAAGTGCACACAGTCACACCACAGCAGTGAGAAATGGGAGGCCGCCCTGACTGGATCAGCCTTACGACAGATGCAGGGTGAGGGGCAGTCCAGGGGGATGTGACTGCGCCATGCCCTGAACAGGAAGGAGGTAACAGTTACAGCTGCACGGGAGAATCACAGGAACAAAATCCAAGCCCAGAACTGCAGAAGAATGCGCCAAGTACAGTTACACTTTTAAGGATATAAATAAGTGTAAAACTGTGAATAAAAGCAGATGAGCAAGAAATCCCAGCAGAGGTTACCGAGACACAGGGATGGACTGTGACAAGGGGAAAACACCGGCTGGGGACTTCGTGTTCTTGTGTACCTGGATGCTCATATCATATTTTATGCCTTTAATCGCTGTAATAATTACTAAAGTCAATTACACTTAAGTACAAATTGAAGTTAGCATATGAGTCATAGAATGCTTAATTTTGTGTATCCACAAGACAGCTATGCTTCTTTTGGAGGAAAGGTAATTCATGAGTTTTACCCCATTATTTACGTCCAATGATTAAAATTCCCTTTTGTTAAATTGAAATACCTTTTTCTCTTCTCCTCCCTTTATTCCCCCTGCCCCGATGCTCCTCATTTTACAGGAGAGATTCGAAGCACTTTTCTCCCTCTATGATGACCAAGTTACCTTCCAGTTATTTAAAAGCTTCAGAAGAGTCAGGATAAACTTCAGCAAGCCCGAAGCAGCAGCGCGGGCGCGAATCGAGCTCCACGAAACGGACTTCAACGGGAAGAAGCTGAAGCTGTACTTCGCCCAGGTACTGCCGCCACCGCGAGGACCGCAGCCACTCACGGCAGGCGGGCGCTGTGGGGATCAACCCTGACACCCCATGGCGATGAGTTAACTTTCCTCTCTGTATCTGCAGTGGCGCTGGTCAGGTGACCTCCTTGGGAGAAAGCAGAAAGTAGCCCTTCCAGTCATTTCTTCTGTCTTGTGAATCTTAGGAGGGACACACAGTCCCAAAGCTGCTCATCAGGTGATGACCAGGAGGCCTGCAGAGCGGCTGTCTTACTTACAGGATTGCCAACAATTGGCTCGTAATAGTTCTAATCCTGTGTGAGCATGGCTTTTTGAGAAAGCATGTTTTTCTCTAAAGGACTGACAAAATAAAAGCCTCAAAAGCTGGGCATGGTGTTACACGCCTGTAAGCCCAGCACTTGGGAGGCTGAGGTAGGAGGATCCTTGCAAATTGAAGACCAGCCTGGACTACAAAGTGAGTTCAAGGCCAGACCAGCCTGAACTGCATAATGAGACCCTGCGTCAAAAAAAGACAAAACAAAACAAAAAATCTTTAATCTCTAAAGAATGAAGTACGCTGTTCTGTTTTCCAAGAAAGTATTTTCTTTCTTGGTTCTAGCCTTCAAATTAGTAAAGCAAGAGAGGTGTATTGCTTTACATTCCAAACAAAAGCTAAATGCAAGAGCTGTCTAGAAATTTCCCAGTAGTCTCTTGAGATGGAGTTCAAAATATGAAACAGTTGTATTTAAGAGTGGAATTTAGTCGTGTGTTAGCTTTCTGTCACTTTAACAAAAACCCTGAGATAATCAACTTAGAGAATCGTCTCGTGTTGGCTCACAGCGCGGGAGTTTCCGCGCATGCTCAGTCACCCTCGTGGCTTTGGGGCTCTTGGTGAGGGGGCACAGCGTGGCTGAGCACAGGAAGAGTGAAGCCACTCACCTCGTGGCAGGGAAGCAGGAGAGGAAGGAAGAAAAAGGGACAGGAGTCCTGCTGGCCCTCCGCGGTGCATCCTAGTGACCTGGAGCCCTGCTCCCCGGCCACCTTCAGAGGTGCCACCTCCCATGGGAGCGGCCCTAAGTTAGCACTGGGCCCACTGGGCCACTGAAGATGCAGATTGTAGCCTGGGGTTACTGGCATGCGTTTCTCTGTTCATCTCCCCACCCACTGATTCGTTAGCTCAACTCGCCTTCATCGAGTACCCACCTAACCTGTGTGGTCCCTGTACAGTGAACCAAGCAGGCGCAGTCCACCTTCTTGGTGAGCACAGGCCATTTGGAGAAATGTTTAGTTTCCCCCAAAATAGTAACCAGGTGCTCATGAGCATCTCCTCCCCCGCAGGTGCAGATGTCCGGTGAGGCACGGGACAAGTCCTACCTGCTGCCGCCACAGCCCGCCAAACAGTTCCTCATCTCCCCTCCCGCGTCTCCTCCTGTGGGCTGGAAGCAGAGCGAGGATGCGATGCCTGTGATCAACTACGATTTACTCTGTGCCGTCTCCAAGTTGGGACCAGGTAAGGATTGTCTACTTCTCTCCTGTTTTTGTCCTAGGAGTTTAAGATTGTGTCTACATCGGGGGCACACTGGGAGGCTGATGCAGAAGGATCATAAGTTTGAGCCCAGCCTGGGCAATTTAGAAACTTGACAAGTCCCTTTCTCAAAAATAATTTTTTTTTTTGGAGACAAGGTCTCATTAAGCAGTTCAGGCTGGCCTTGAACTCACTTTGTAGCTCAGACTGTCTTGAACGCACAATGATTCTCCTGCCTCAGCCTTCCAAGTGCTGAGATTACAGGCATGCACAACCATGCCCGGCTCAAAAATAAAAATTTAAAAGGGCTGAGGATGGAGCCCAGTGTGAAGGCTCTGAGTTCAATCTCCAGGAGCATAAAAAGCAAAGCGTATTCAGTAACACACTTTCCAGCCAACCAGCAACGGAATACAGAGGGGGACTCAGTCACCCAGGTCTGGGCTTAGATTCCTGTTCTGCTATCCTAAGCAGGTTGCTTCAATTTCCTGAGTCTTCATTTTTCCCTCTCTGTAACAGGGATAATTCTAACCCATGCTGTCCAGCGTGGTTATGAGTTAAACGGTATGTGTATGATAATAAATGTAATTTCTTACCTTCCCTCTCTCATCCCTCTAAATTGATATAGCAAACTGATTCCATGCTGGTCCAGACTAGCTGTACCCTGGAGACAATTGTGTCTCTCACAGGGGATAGGAGGGGCCTTCGAGGACAAGCGGCTTGGTGGTGTCCTTAGACCTCAGGGTTTGGAGGTCACAGAATAAAGATAGTGCCAGTGTTATTTGGGGCCTTGCCAGGGTCTCCCAAGGGGAAACAGAGATCATTATGAAGTTAGGCAGATTCATTCCAATTACTCACAGAATACTTTTTTTTTTGGTACCGGAGATCGAACTCACGACTGCCTGCTTGCAAGGCAGGCACTTATGCCGCTGAGCTAAACCTCCAGCCCCTTACTCACAGGATACTAATGAACATTTCACTTTAACCCCTAAGACCTAGACTGAAATGACATTTTTTGTACTGGGAATTGAAGTCACAATCTCGCACTTGCCAGGTAGGCACTGTGCCACTGAGTTGTATTGCTGGTCTGACAATATTTTATAAGAGCCTGGAAGTATTGGATCTCATCCTGGTGTGGTAGCTAGCACATGCCTGTATTCCCGCCTACTCATGAGGTACAAGTTTAAGGCCAGACTGGACACTTAATGTGCGTTTCTGGCTCAAAAATCGTAGTTGGGCATAGTGGCACAGCATCTGGGGCTGAGGCAGGAAGACTGTAAGTTTGAGCCCAGCTTGGGCAATTTAGTGACTTCTTGTGACCTTGTATCAATAGAGTTGAGAATGGAGTTTATTGTAAAGGCCCTAGGTTCAATCTCAGTGCCCAGGAATTTTTTTTTTCTTTTATGGTTTTTGAGATAAGGTCTCCCCATTTAATTCAGGCTGCCCCTGAACTCCCTATGTAGCCCAGGCTGGCCTCAAACTCAGGGCAATCCTCCTGCCTCAGCTTCCCGAGTGCTGGGATTACAGGCCTGGGCCACCCAGCACGCCAATTTGAACAGTTCTGAGACAAAACCCGTTGCTGTAAATGGGCTTCGCCGGTGCTGACAGTGTTTACCTCGCAGGGGAGAAGTACGAACTGCACGCGGGAACCGAGTCTACCCCGAGCGTGGTGGTGCACGTCTGTGAAAGCGAAACCGAAGAGGAGGAAGAAACCAAAAACCCCAAACAGAAAATCACGCAGACCCGGCGCCCAGACCCTCCGCGCGCAGCGCTGAGCGAGCGGCCCACAGCCGACTGCGCGCCCTGAGCCCGCGTGGAGCGCACGGCGTCCTCCTGCGGGCAGCCTGCGCGGCGGCAAGGCAGGCGCTGGTCGTTTCCTGTGTGCATTTTGAGTGGCGTCCTAAATGGCACTTTAAAGGAGTAGGCCCCGAAGCCTGGCAACTCAGTGACCAATTTTAAAAGAAGCAAATTAGGAAAATGGCCCCCAACCCTCGCTACCAATTTTAGTTCCCCTGATTGCATATGGCGTGGGGTTCTGGGACCAGATATATACTCATCCAGTACAGTGGCGTTTTTACAAATTTACAAATAGTCTTCAACTTTAATAACCTGGTGTAGGTATTTTTGTACTGGTATAATAGCTTCTAACTAATACATGGATGAAAGGTTGTTACTCAGTGTATGCAACTTTGTTTTTGTTTGTTTCACAAAAAGAAACCTGAAAGCCGGGTGGGGTGGCTCACACCTGTGATCCCAGCACTCGGGAGACTGAGGCAGGAGGATCGTTGGGAATTCAAGACCAGCCTGGGCTGCAAAATGAGCTCAAGTGAGCCAGCCTGAACTATGTAATGAGGCTGTCTCAAAAAGACAAGACAGAAAAAAGAAACCAGAAATACAGAATAACTCAAAAATTCATTTTCCCAAGTGTTGTTTTCATTAGCTTTGTGCAAAAACTGCCAAGTCCGCTCTGGTTGCTGAAACTGAATGAGGCAGGTCAAGGTGTGTGCTGCTGTCGCGCTCCTCCTCCTGGGGCCTCGGTTTCCACCCCTGTCACCCAGAAACTGCTGCAGGAAGAAATGCTCTGCTGCTGCTGAGGTGCCACCGCCAGCCTGACTGATAGCGGCTCAGACAGTGGCCATGTCCACCATCGGTGACGGTTTCCAGCCTGCGGAAGCCCAGGCTGTCTTCACTCACCAGTTGTCCCGTCACCTCCAACAGTGCATTAACCACTAGTTCCTTTTGTTCTGTTTTGTCTTGTTTCGCTGTTCTGTTTTTGGAGACAGTGTCTCACTATGTCATTCAGGCTGGTCTTGAACTCACTATGTAGCTCAGGCTGGCCTCAGACTCATGGGGATCCTCCTGCCTCAGCCTCAGGGGTGCTGGGATTCCAGGCGTGCATCAACATGCCTAGCCCTTAACCATTAGGTCTTGGGTTTTCTGTGCTACATGTAATGTGCATTTGTGTCTCTTGTAGTCTTTATATTAGAAAACACAAGATTTTCTGAAAACCATTTAAAAATGTTTTCCATCTAAACATTTTCAGCCGGCTTAAGAAGCAAAGTCATGCATATTATTTTTGTGTGTGAATTAGGGGATGAGAGATGAGATCATGCATTTCTGCGTGGATGGCTTTTTTAACCTTGGCTTGCAGTTAGCATTTTTCTCTCGAAGCTGGAATTACTTCCTGCTTGTGATTCAGAATGTGTATCTGAACCTTGCAAGGTAGCAGCAGAGACTTTTTAGCACTTTGGGGTCTAGTAAGACTGTGTAATCCCTCAAATAAAAATCTCATGACCAAAGCTGTCTCGCTTTGGGCCACGGTGGTCACCTGGCTCTGTTGTTTGTGTAGCAGCTCCCGGGTGTCTCTGGGATGGGCTTGCATTTCATTTAGAACTAATAAACCAAAGTGGCTGTCACTGCAAAGAAAGGAAAGTGGGGGAAGTTCAAGCTGTTGTATCTGTACATTTTGGTAACATGTTATTATGGTTTAGTTTTCATTATATGGCAGAATTTATTCCTTAGCATTTAAACTACATTGTGTGCACACACAAACACAAGTTTCTCTTATTGTAAGATGATAAACTCTTTGTACATACTCACCACTGCTAAGCCTCAGTGTAAATTCGTTTGAAATTTGCAATTCATAAGCAACTAATTTATTGAATTTGGATCATCGCCTGTCAGTTTAGCTGACCACTCAATAAATAAATTTATTTTGTAATTATTTTTTGTTTTTGGATTTTTTTGGTTTGTTTGTTTTTGAGATGGTGCATTACCGTGTTGTCCAGCATGGTCTCAAACTCCTGAACTCAGCTAATCCTCTTGGAATTTCCACACCATGGGTGGACCTGGCTCTACTTCGTAATTGTGAATTCAGAATTTTGCCTCTTTTTGATTGTCAGGAAATATATTCTACATATCAATAGTAGGGTTTTGTTTTGTTTTGTTTTTGAGACCATCTCGCTGCATAGCCTAGACTGGTCTCCAATTCATGATCCTCCTACCTCAGCCTCTCAAGTGCTGGGATTACAGGCATGTACCATCATACCTAGTTTCAGCTGGGAAACTTTTTCACTATATTTTCTAAGGGATCAAAACCCACAATGTTTTGTTATTTGGTTTACCTTCCATTTGCCACCTATTAATTAAATGGAGCTTTTTTTAAAATCAGGCAGTGCAAACTATTGAAGTTCTGTTCTTTTTCTTCTGAAAGCTTTTAAGTCAAAATTGTGTGTGTGTGTACGTGTGTAGACAGTCATGCAAACTTTTCTGAATGGTGAACGTTGTTTTTTGTAGTATAATATTTCTACAAGTTTAATTCTAAAATTAAAAAATTATTAAATGCCTATCAACTTTTTAATATTATGAAATCAACCAGTGTCTCCAGGTCTCTTGTCCGGGCTGTTTTATATCCAGTTCTTGTAGGCATTTTATAAGACATGAACTACCTGGATCTTTTTTCTAAAGTTCCTCCACGTTTACCTGCATTTCTTTCTGCTTTGAAGTTAGTTCTTAAATGTAACTTCGTTATCCTAGAAGCCACATTTTCTGCAGAAATTAGAACCCGACCGTGCACGTCAGACCACAGAGGATGTCGTGAGCAGAGAGTTCGGTGCTTTGTGCAGGGAAGAGCGTACACAGGGACGAAAACCCGCGACACGGTGGTGCCAGGGGGAGCTGCCCAATCTGCGGCACACGGATTCCTCCAGCTCCTGCTGTGGAGCCAGAGACCATCTCCTTACAGAGAGGTATGGGGTTTCAGGCGCTGAGAGGCAGAAGTGAATGGGCACAGCTCCCTGGCCTTGGAGGGAGAACCGCCAGGCTTAGAAAGGAAGCTCGTTTCACCTCCTCCTTCACAGTGTTTGGCATGGAAACCTAGAAATTAGAACTAGATCAAAGCTATGCGCCACTTTGAGGTTCAGCGTGAAAGGGTCCAATAGGACGCTGTAGTCATCTGTGAGATGTTTGAACTGAAAACAATATCAGGAGGCAGAAGTCAAGGGCGATGCTTTCCTTTGTAAGGAGTCTTTTCTGTTTGCCATCCACATTAATTCCGTGTTTTAAAATGTCATGATTGTAAAGGGGCGTGATTGGGGCTTCTAGGAATCTCCATTCAGAGCTGAAGATGGCTTTGGGGATCCTGCAGTCTAACCCTCCTGCTACACAGATTAGAAGCCGGAGCAAATATCGGCCCGTCATGAGGTCTGCCGGGGTAGAAGTGGCAGAATCCTTTCTCCCTCATAGGACACAATGACTAAGGAATTTGCTTTTTTGTTGTTGTTTTTTTTTAAATCTTACCTGAGGCAGGTATGGTGACACACTCCTATGATCCCAGCTCTCGGGAGACTGAGGCAAGAGGAGTGCAAGTTCTAGATCAGCCTTGGGAGACATAATTTAGCAAGAACATCTCCCAAAATAAATAAAACAGGGCTAAGGATATAGCTCAGTTCAAAGACCCTGGGTTTGGGGGCTGGGGATTTAGCTCAGTGGCCTAAGAGCCTGCCTGACAAGTGCAAGGTCGTGAGTTCAATCCTAAGGTCGTGAGTTCAATCCTAAGGTCGTGAGTTCAATCCTAAGGTCGTGAGTTCAATCCCCAGTACCAAAAAAAAGCAATGACCCTGGTTTCAATGCCCAATACAATAAAAAAAAAAAAAGAAAGAAAGAAAAGAAAAACTGGTGAAAGTGTTTCATAGTTTGGAATTTTTTTTTTTCATTGAGCCCAGGATTAGAATCAGCTTTAAATAATGTTCTCTTAGTAGCCAGGAGTTACCTTGGCTTTCTGTGTGGGTTTTCCTGAACTTTCATATTAATGCAATTAAAGTATAGTCACGCTTCAGATGTGACCCCAGTGAAGCAGAATGAGATCACAGCTGATAGGAAAATGGAGCGATACTCTCACTCTGCCTGTAAGATTGAGTCCTATTCTCAGTGAAAGAGAAACCAATGCTTTATATTCTTATATAGACCGTGCAATTATTTTTAATAGGAAGACCTCAAACATGACCAAGCAGTAGAAATGTCCCAAATTCTGTGATGCGTTAGGTTCAGTGTCTGCTAGATTTCCTCTCATTTCTCCAGGCACAGAGTTCATAGCTGTTGGACACCTGAACGTGGTCCATCTTCCCTTGGTCCACTTGCTGTGATTCTCTTTTAGATGTTTTCATTTACTTTTTTTTTTTTGAGACAGGGTCTTGCTACATAGTTCAAGCTAGCCTCAAACTCACTATGTACCCAGGCTGGCCTTCAACTCATAGTGATCCTCCTGCCTCAGCCTCCTAAATGCTAGAATTACAGGCATGCGCCAACATGCCCAGAGTGCATTTATATTTCCTTGTATTAAAGGAAACAATAAGGGATCGATCTTTTTCTTGGTCCCTCGGTGTGCTCATAATTGATGTGACAACATAAAGGAACAGAAGACCTGGGGAAAAGTAGCTTCTAGCTGAGGAAGTCAGTGTTACAGAAACTCAGTTTTTAAAAACAAATTGGAAAAAGAAGATGTAGGGACTGTGGCCAACATTTGATAAATACCTATTTGTTTTTAAGTACCCCTTAAAATGCAGGCCAGCCTGGAGCTTCTTCCACGCCACTGTTTCACTGTGAACTGGGGGAGAAGTTAATCTAGAGTGTGATTACCAAACATCTAAACCATAAGACAGCTCTAAGCAATGAACACTGCTAAGTCCACTGACCAAAAAGGTTATAAAAATCATCGTGTTCAGAGTGGAGTTTCTAGGCAAGATTAAGAAGTAACCTTGGGCTAAGTCAAATTGTCTCTATCCATTTAGATAAAAATTCATTGGTATACCTCTATAATCTCAGCACTTGAGAGGCTGAGGCAGGAGGATGGCAAAGTCAGAGCCAACCTAGCCTGGGTGACATAGAGAACTGCAGGCTACCCTGGATATAGAACAAGTCCCTATCTCTAAATAAAAGTTCAAAGACCTTGCACCAAGTCAACCTTGTGCTGGGGATTTAGCTTAGTGGCATAAGCGCCTGCCTTGTAAGCATGTGGTTTTGAGTTCGATCCCCGGTACCGATTAAAAAAAAAAAGGCAAATTAAATCAACCTTGTGGTCTACTGGAAGGAAACTGATTTTCCTTTTGAAATACAGTCAGGTCCTGTGAACTCTTGGAACTCCTTCCTGCATGGCCTCGAATATTCATTCTTGTATGGAAGAATTGTGGCCATCTATGCAGATAATCTGTGCTTTTCTATGTTCCTGTTTAGTCCTCAGTGTTTCTCATCACACCGGGGAAACGAGAGCCGTCAAGGAGGCTATGCTGTACGGCTTCTGGGCCCTGCGAGGGGAGGGCTGACGGCATCTCTCCTGTGCCGTGCGCCTCCTTCGGATGGGAGGAAATTCCTCTGTCATTTCGCTTTGGTCTTAAGTAAGCCGGGGTTGAATTTATTGTTTCATCTGAACATGTTTGTGACCTTGTGTTGTGTTTGGGGCACATCTGTCACCTGTCCGTACTGTAAGCTGTGGCCAGCGCTCAGCCTTCGGGAAACTGGTCAGTAATTTCTGTGAACATCGCTACTGTGCTTGAAGTGGTGTTCCATCCTGCGTAGTGGTTTGTTAACTGTCCACTCTCCTGTGTTTTGGGGACCTCTGAACATTCCTCGTCCTATCCAGGTGACAAAAGCAGAATGTAATTTTTTGGAAGCTTCGTGATTACTCGTAACAAGTTTTGTTTTTAAAATGGAAAAAATAAAGTTAGCTGGTTTTTTAACCTGTCCATTGAATTGCATTCTTCATGTGTGGTATTTTCTGTATTGCTTCCATTTAGGTCACAACAAAAAGGGCAAGAGAATGAAATATGATGTTTGCTCTTCTAACAGGACTCCTGTTGAGCACCAATGCTGTTCTGGGCCAGAGTTCAGGGCCAGGCGAGGTGAGTCACCATGGTCACTGTCACCGTGGTCCCTGTAAATAACCAGGGCCATTCAGCTTCAGCTTTTCACCAACAGGTGCCTTTGTACCAGTTTACTCCTCAGTTAAAAATGATTTATTCCTAGAAAAGGCTTCTCTTCTCTTGGTTTAAAAAGAATATAAAAGGGGCTGGGGATTTAGCTCAGCAGCATAAGCGCATGCCTTGCAAGTGTGCGGTTGTGAATTCGATCACTGATACCAATAAAAACGAAAAAGACAAAAAAAAAATTTTTGTTAAAAGAATCATAAAGATCTTCAAAACACTGAAACTTGAAATGACTGTGGAGGTTCTCTAGTACCATGAGTATTTAATATTGATTTTTAAGCCACAGAATCTGCTATCTGTTAAAATATCATCTTATAGGATGCTCAGTGCAAAACTGATTACAAAAGGAAGAAAGGAAATGAAGGTAAGCAGAGCTGGCCCGTTTGAAGGGTCTGCTGCTCCTCCGTGCCTGCCCAGCTCTGCGCAGAGCCCAGAGCCGCCTGCGCCCCCCCAGACTGCGCTTCCCTTGCTGTGCTCGCCCTGCACTGAGACTCTTCCTGGAGACCTGGGTTCACATTCAAAGCACTTGAGACTGTTTTCCAGAACAATAAGGCGCAGCCCGCAGTAGGATCCCTGCGCTCACAGGTGCCCTCAAGCTGGGTTGGGAGGACGGGGCCCTCCTGGCTGTGGGATGCTCTCCTTCCCCATCAGTGGTACATGGGGTGGGGCTGGGGGTCTTAGCGTCCACGTCCACCTGAACTAAGGATTCTGTGGGTAAAATGAGAAGCTGGAAAACCACTACAAA